AAAAAAGCGTACGTTACTTGCAAATTATAAAATAAATATAAATTTTAAGAATTTCAGCAACACACAAAAATTAAGCTTTCGCACGAGCGTTTGTTTGGTTTTTCAACTGTCAAAATTTTACTCTGCATTTGGCACAGCAAAATTCAATTTATTTGTACACCATAGCAAATTTTTCCACCCCGTCTCACCACGGAGAAAAAAGTTACCGATTGGCACAGGCCCTAATTACAGATTAGGGTGTTAAGCTCGAAAATGAGGATAATCTACTTATATGTGAACCTAGTATTATAGATTTACGTTCTTTGGTTCATAGTTGATAAAAATACCGATTACCAATTGGCAGTTTACCAAAACTACCAAAATGGGTGTGAAGACCCTTGTTATTTCTGCCGGCGTCAAATATGTGTTTTTCAGCGTCAGGGCCTTTTTGCAACCCTGTGAGTAGAAAACAAGAAATGTCAACAAAAAAGAAACCTTTGACGTCAACCAATACATACCGGTATTTAGCATATTTTAAGCATTTTTTTTTTAATTCTGCTAAACTATGATAGAAACGCTGTATAACTTGCCTTTCCAAATTTTGGTACCGCCAAATATTAAAATTCGACGACCGACATGGTTTCGAAAACCATCGCCAATGGTTATGTTCTCGATTGTATTGCTGTCATACTTTCTGGTCACCGGTGGTAAGTAGCGACTATGCAACGCCCACTACAGCTTAATTGATAAAATTCCTTCTGATAGGAATAATATACGATGTAATTGTTGAGCCGCCCAGTGTTGGTGCCACAGTAGATGAACATGGGCATTCACGGCCAGTGGCCTTCATGCCTTATCGAGTAAACGGGCAATATATCATGGAAGGTTTGGCCAGCAGTTTTCTCTTTACGGTTGGTGGTTTGGGCTTTATTATTATGGATCAAACACATATACCTGGAAAAACCAACCTTAATCGTTTTCTTTTGACTGCGATGGGATTTATTTTTATACTTGTTTCATTTTTCACCACGTGGCTTTTCATGCGAATGAAATTGCCAAGCTACTTGCAGCCATGAGTAGCTTGAGGCAGGAGCAGCCAATATTATATGAGCATATTTTACACCCTGATTACTATAAATTAAATCAGCAAATTGTCCTTAAATAAAGACCAATTAAACAATTCAAATTGATTCTGTACATATACTTTATTTATCAAATTTTGCTTATAATTAGAATATAGATTTCTGTAAATGCACGTTGGAAGTACACGCTTTTCGGTTTCGCGTTAATATTGAATTGTAGAATTGATAAAAATTGTAAAAAACTTGTTAAGTAAAATCTGTGTTCGTATGGAATAGTAGCTTATGTCCGGAAGCAGGCTTTAGTATAATGCGGTATTCCCTTTATTCTTTAAACGACAAGGAATTTTTTGATGAGACTTGATAAGAATATTGACTTGCTAGTATCGGAACTATTTCTTGCACGTTTATTTGCCAAAAGTTCTTCAACGGCTCGGCGCCAGTGAGTCATTCGTAATCGTATGCTGCGAATGCCGCATTATACTAAGGCCAGCCTTTCGACATAAGCTACTATTCCATACGAACACAGAAATGTTGTGTGATTAATATGAATGATCTGATTTGTATGGTGTTTAAATAATGATACTTCCAATTAAATACAGGTATTAAGAGTAAAAATATTTTTGGTAAATTCATATTGTTTTTCGATTTCTAATTCTTTTCATGCATATTAAATCGGCAACCATCTGCCTTAAAAAATGAATTCCCAAAGACATAGGTCAGCGTTAACGGGACTGGGCATAATTAGTTTTGTCCAGTCTGTCGAAACTTTGGGGCCAGTTTTATGCTGTTACAACAAAATATATGCGAAAATTATTTAAATTAAACTTAAAATTTTCATAAATTTTTGTTTTACGCCTGGTAAATGTCTTCAACTATAACTCCAAATCACAACAGATACTAGTATGATGAAAAAAATTTATCATGATCTTATCTTAAACATTTCAATTTAAATATTGTACTTAAAAGTTTATAAACAAAGTTGCAAAAAGCAAAATAATTAACTACCCGTTTGCTACATGTTTATATGATTGTGCATAAATGACTTTTGGCCGAGCCTCTCGGGCCCAACACTAACATATGTGTAAGCGCCAATCTATATGTATATACAGATGCGTGCAACTAATTAGCAACGAAATTCAAAACGATATTGCTTGCAAATTATGTTTATTTATTTATTTTTAATAATTTTCATTTAAAATATAATTCAATCTATATCAGAAACCACAATAACAAAAGTTGCGAAGCTTGCACAAATTGCAAAAAAATTAATCAAACTTCAAAAAATTGTCATCAAAATTTCAAAATTTTTAATTAGACTATTTAGAAAATTTTCGGGTATGCAGTTTTGTAGCCCATTCAATTTTAGTATAAAAGTGCAAGTTTCAAGTCGCTAAACATTACCGTTGATTTTTTAGATTTTTTTTTTGTGGAGGGTGTTGCGCATTTTCTTCCATATAACACATGATCAAAATTTTTTTTTACATGGAAAATAATCCGCAACACCCTCGACAAAAAAAAATTCTAAAAAATCAACGGTAATTTTTAGCGATTTGAAACTTCCACTTTATTATACTAAAATTGAATGGGCTACAAAACTGCATACCCCAACATGTTCTATATATTCTAATTAAAAGTTTTGATTAATTTTTTTGCAATTTGTGCAAGCTTTGCAACTTTTGTTATTGTGGTTTCTGTTATAGATTGAATTATATTTTAAATGAAAATTATTAAAAATAAATAAATGAACATAATTTGCAAGCAATATCGTTTTGAATTTCGTTGCTAATTAGTTGCACGCATCTGTATATATAAATGACTTTTCGAGCTAAATAAACATATTAATACGCCTTCTATTAAAACTAACGGATATGAATAAATCAAAAATAAATCTGTTCTAGATACTTCATGATTTGCAGGTTTTTACAGGAAGTTGTTCCCGTACGCTACCTTCCATAAGGTTTTTAGTAGCGAAAACAGCTTTTCCTTTATATCCTATAAGACCTGCAAACGCTGAAGTACCTGTAACAGGCTTAATATTTGAGATTCAATTATGCGTGCAAAAAATTAACAAAGAACTAGAAGTTTATACATAGATATGTATACTTCGTTATACATTATCTTTCTAATAGCAGATAATGGTTTATACTCGAATGTTTCTGCGCTACTGGCAAGTATTTTGAGCCCATTTAGAGTCTTATCCGGAAAGAGCTGCAATTAAAAAGTAATAATTATTTTTAAGTACATCCATAATGTATAGTCGTAACCATACTTAAGAAAATCTCTAGATTTATCAGTGACATGTTCGAACTCAGGAAACGATAATGCGCCATCATCGTCGAAATCAGCTTCGGCGAGTATACAGTGTATAATCTCTTTCATATCGGAGTCGTCTAATTTATTTTCGGGGCCACATAGTCTTTCAATAACTTGCTTCAGATCTGAAACACCTAGCATATCATCGCCATCAAAATCTGAAATGGAATTTATTTAATTTAATAAGAATCAACAGTTTTTTTTTTGAACTGTCATGTTTTACCCCAAATGCGGAAAGCATACTCTGCTTTAAGTTTTTTCGGACAAGCATCACTGAAAACATTCATCATGTCCAAAAAGTCTTCAAATGTCATATCACCATCCTCACTTGAACTAAAGACTTTACATATCCGATCACCAAATGGATTTACACGTAGCTCTGGATATTGCAATATCTTGCTCATGGATAATTTTGCATTTTTGTTGTGTCCAACTTTTTCTGGTGCAAGGCTTTTAAATTTTTTGTGCGCGCTGTTGAAAAAGGAACGAAGTGGAGGATAAAAAAAACACTAAAATTGGTGGTAATACATATCTATTAGATAATATCAGATAATACTTACAGTAGTATCTCTTTCTTCGAAAAGAATGTTAAATCCTATATAGAAGAGCTTTATAATTTTTTCAAAAACTAAAATTAAAACAAATTACTTCGTAATCCTGCAGCTCCTCATCTGTAAACTGGCTCTTGGTCTGACCCATTTTGTTTGCTTTCAGCACAGAGTTCTACGTCCCAACCGCCAACTACAATCTGCTTTAAAAACGTACTTCTTCAGATCCTTCGCCTCGGTAAAGCTTTACAACTTAATTCATTGAAGATTGTATATTTTATATATTTATATTTAGTTTTCCTGAACCCCACCCATCATGTGAACACAAAATACAAATTCCCGATAGGACAACTTGCAATTGATGCTGTTGCAGTAGGGATGAAGCGATACGAGTAAATACAACTACATACTCGATACTTTTCGATCGGTGCCAAGTAATTTTGGCATCGATACTTGTGAAACAAGTATGTCTGCGTTCAAACACGGAAACTCGAGTTTCTTATTATCGGCGATTCTCTTTTGGTGTTGCCCTTTGCATTCACACACAGAAACTCTTTTGTACGCAATTGTTGTTGTCAGCTGTGAACCGCCAACTTGAATTCAGAGAACGTATATTTATAGAGAAGGACCAAGAACGAATCAGCGTGGAAACTGTCAAATACCAACAAAACTGGCGAAGCGCATTTTAAGAGCGGCCAGCCAGAGCCAATCGAATTTTAACAGAGCCCAGCCAGAGGCAAAATAAATTTAACAGAAATTGTCTCATCAAAGCAAATGCATATTTTTCTTGTTAGAAATGAAATGCTGATGGCTTTTTACGTTTTTACAACGCTTTTATTGTTCTTTAAATTGGTTAATTATTTAAAAATGTGTAATATGTACATATTGTGTACATGCATATGTATGCGAGAGATACAATTTTGTGAATCTAAAATGTGAAAGTTGTGCAAATATGTAGTATGCAATTGGCAAATTCGTTGGTGATTTGCCGTCGGCATTTGGGTTGAAAAAATCGACTTTTACTTTTTTACCGATTCATATGGTAGATGCTACGCTATTTTCAACGCAACAAACCGCAGTTTTCTAGCTGCCTTAGTTTTTCCCCAAATTCACTTTAAAGATGGACACATTGACCAAAAAACGCAAATGCGCACTGTTTGGTGATTTGATGTCGGCATTAAAAGCGAAGAAAATCGGTTTTTATATCTTTAGCGATTCTAATGGTAGTTTATAGGTACGCTATTTTCAATGCAACAAACTGCAGTTTTCTAGCTGCCTTAGTTTTCTCACACATCCACTTCAAAGATGGATACATTGACAAAAAACGTACAAAGTTATTATATATTGACGTACGAAGTTATTTATATTGAGAAAATATGTTGCATTATCATTTTTCACTGTTTTTCATAGTAAAAATAAAGTCGACACTAAAGTTAGTTACAGCTTTTTCACATCACTTTCAGTGGATTAGGCATCTGTGAAAAAAAGATGCAACTAATTTTCTTCTTTTTTGGGACTGAGAAACTTTAACTTAGAGTCGACTTTATTTGGTCTACGAATATGCCCCAATAGTTTTGGAGTCAAATGAAAATGCATTTCCCCATGCATACGTATGTACATACGTACTCCATTAATTGATAACGTTTTTACATGTATACATATATATTTATGTATGTGCATATTACTGCCAAAATACTACGCACATACACACAAATGTACATATTTACAACTCACGGCAGCATACATACATATGCACATAATTACACGCATACTCAAATACAACAATAACTATTTCTTTCATAACCACATGCGCGTATTTCTCAAGGCCAAGTAAATTCATTCATAAAAATAACCGCAGCACATCTCCCCGCAAATTCATCTCCCTCAAGCGCAACTTTTTCAATCCCACACAAAAATTCTAAAATCTTAAAATGAAGAAATCTCGACCAGCCAAGTGAAAAGTGGCAACTATTTCTCTATATCCAGTAAAATAAGTTATCTCGAATTTTGGAAATTTTTGGTAATTTTTGGCAAAACACTCTATTTCTATGTTCCATATCAATATGTCAATCATTAACTAGTTTTTAAGATGTAATTGTAATAAACATTAAATAAAAGTGTACGTTTTCTGCAGGAAAATACATTGATTTTTTTTTAATAAAATCAAAACTTCTAAAATCACAAAAATATGTGGTTTTATCGGAAGTTCACAGATGTAACGTGGCAACTTAGCTCGTTTTCATATTTTTCGGTCCGAAATTGTAAAATTTTTGTCCATGACGCGCCACAATTTTTGTACAGGTGGGTCAATGTGCCTTGAACAAAATTTATATATATACAAAAAAATTATTTTATTTATTTTTTAATATTAAAATTTTCTATACTTCAAAGCGTTTATGAAAATATATTTACATATATGCACGGACGATTTTTAATATTTTTCAACCGTAAGCAAATCTTCAGTACCATAAAAGCTTCAAACACATCAAAGTACAAGCAATGTAATGTCCAAGCTAGTGGTACTCCACTGTACATGTGTATATGAAAGTATGCATGTATGCGTGTAAAAAATGCCAATTCCAGTCAGTGTTTAACCCATTTTAGCGGACATAGTTTTTTTGGTTCCACCTGTTAATAACACACTATTTTACAACGCTTTTTATGTTTAATCTTCATGAAAGTCACATGCATCGTAGAGAACATGGTTACATGTAGAATTTTAAATTAATTATTATTATTCTCCATACAAAATGTAAAAGTATTGCTTTATTAAATTCAAAGTTATGCGAAAATCTAAATATTTCGCAAACGTAGGGTTAATGGTTTCGCGCACGTGCCAATCTGGTGGCGATTCGCAGAAATTGAATAATTTGTGTAGATGGAAGCGGCGAGGGGAAGACGAAGGCAGAACAATCGTATATATGTATGTACTTATGTACATTTATAAATGCATACATACTTACATTTTCATTTGTTTGTCTTTTTGCTTGCATGAAAAATTTGGTAGCAGAAATAGGTATTGAAATGAAGTTTACAAATATGTGCTTTATAAATTTAGGTTTAGTTATTAATAAATTAGATATGTAAATGACAATGTGGGGGACAATTATGCACATGAGTAGCGGAGCTGCCACCCATCGAATGGCAACGTCTTACACGACTTTATTAGAAAAGATTTGAAAACTGCATTATTTCCATAAATATAGAAAATATTGAAAAATTTCTCAAATAGTTTCGTCTTAGATTAGCGAGATTTTTACAAATTGCCGGGAAAATCCGACGTTTACAGATTTTTAGTATTTAAAAAAAAATAAAGTTCCCAAGTCGAAAATAATTAAAAACTTAATTATTTCCATAAATATCGGAAATACAAAAGAAAATCATACAGACTTTCGACTTAGCTTAGGGAGATCTCTACAAAAAAATGGAAAATAATTCTTTTCACAGTTTTGTTTTTTTATTCAAAAAATTTCTAAGTCCAAAAGGTTCAAAAACTTCGCTATTTCCATAAATATCGAAAATTTGGAAAAAATTCTCAAATAGTTTCGGCCTAGTTTAGCGAGAGACCTTAAAAAAAATCTAAAATGATTTTTTTTTTAATCCAATACCAATAGATACAGTTTTTTACTTGAAAATACCACAAAAATTGGAAAATGTTATATAATATTCTCGATTTATTTTAACGTTATTTGTACAAATCACCGAAAATAAATTTTTTTCCCTACAAATCTATTTACAAAAAAGGCTTACACCAAAAAAGTTTTAAAGTTGAAAATCTAACAAAATATTTTCACGATATTTGTAGAAATAACCGGAAAAGAGGATTTTTTTTGTCAAAAAATGTTTTCACAAAAAACGCAAACACTTATGAGAGTTTTCTATTTGCAATCATTAAAAAAATATCACAAAAAAACCGGAAAATGTTATATAATATTTTCGATTTAATTGCATGTTACTTGTGCAAATCAACGAAAAAATTTAATTTTCTTACTAAAACAATTATTTTCACAAAAAATCTAACACTTTCCAAAATATCACAAAATCATCAATATTCATATTTAATTAACAGTCCAAACGCTCTCGTGAGATTTAGCTCTGTTAATATTCTTCTTTTCTGCTTTGTATTTTGCTTTCGCTGTTAAGTATTCCAAATATTTGTCGCTCTTAACATGCGCTTCGCCAGTTTAGTTGGCTCGAAAAATGTGGCATTCACAGTTCTTGGACCTTCTCTATAAATATACGTTCTCTGTTGAATTACTCAGACGAACGAGAGCACAAAGCGTGTTTCCCGAGTACAGGCGACTCGGTACCCGTCCCCTTTCCTCGTCGCTCTCTCCCGAACAAGCTTCGAGTTTCCGCAACAAAAGTTTTCGTGTCTGAACATCGACTACTCGATACTACTTCCAAGTAAAAGTATCGATACCTGCATGGTATCGTTTCATTCCTATGTTGCAGAGAAACTGAAAAGCAATCGATGGCACTATCGAAAGTATCGATGATTTTCAATTTCTTCCATGATACAAATATTTAAATTTTTGTATCATGATTTCTTCCACTGTCGCTGTTTTTTCTGTCACTATCGATGGTTTTTTTCTCATAAGCAAGGACGTGAACCGGTTTTGAACCGGAAAACGCGCTTTTCTATTAATTAACTGAACCATTAACCGAACCGAAATTTTCCACAAATGTTTGATCCGAACCGAAAACCGAACCACTTTCTATAAAGATTGAAAGGTTCGTTTCAACCAATTTTCAATAGATAAATGTACTTTTTTTTCTTTTTGGTAAACATGGTAATACCCATCACGTAAAGGCAACCCATCTCATTTGACAGACACTTGACCCTTAACCTTGCGCGTTGTTGCACTTGACACTTGACACTTCAACTTGCGCGTAATTTTTTTGTTTTTCGAATCGTTGAACCGAACCGAAACCTCGGTTCAAAGACCAAAATAACCGCATTGGCGAACCAATCAAAAAGTGCAAAAACGGTTCGAACCGCTGAACCGAACCAAACAAATTTTTCATCCGGTTCACGTCCCTGCTCATAAGTATAGCAACTGATAGAAAGATGTTTGATGAAATATTACACATTTTCGGATCTATTAACCCTATAATACTAACCTTATTTTGTATTCCTTTAATAATAACGTTCGCCTGTGAGGCTACTTTAAAAAGAACAAATTTTGTCTTGCTTTAAAACCTTAAATTTATTGAAAAGATGGGCTTAAACATATTTCGTATGTTTCTTAAGTAAAAAAATAAAATAATTTAATAATTTTTTTTAATATTAATAAAAATATGTCGTATTGAAAAATAACACATTTTTTATTATCTTTTTGAGAGGGGCAATTTAAAAAAAAAAAATTAAAGCGAACTACTCAAACATTCCATAA